AAAATGATATCTACAGAATGTTGGAGAATAATACGTTTTTAATTTTTAAAATTTTTATTAGTACATATTTGTAGTACATAATGATTACACTAACCGTGGGGAGTTGGTACAGATGTATAATGCATCCTAATATACTCTCTTCTAGGCAGAATTTCTAGATGCTGCTGCCGGGGTCCATGTGCGCTTCAGATTAGGGGGAGTAAGTATGCCTGAACACTTAGCAGCTTCAAAGTACATTTGTATGAAATTTAAAGGATATGATTTTTTTAAAATGTAAACCATTTTTGTATTTGCATTACAGTGACCCTTTGAACTTTTCCACCTACAGGCTAAGTTTCCACCTGATATATACTATAAAATTTTTACTCACAGACATATTGAAGATTTGTGTGCTAACAGCCCTAGAGATTACACAAAGCTCCCAGCGAAACACACATCTCATAATAAAGACGATCCTCCTCCGGAAGAGGACCACGGTGGCTGGTATCGTCGCGTAGAAAACAACGGCTGGCGGCCCGTGTCTGACAGGGTCAGAGGAAGATTAGTGATCTTAAGTTGTAACTATGTAGAAATTCCTTTGTATTTTTGAAAATTAATTTTAATTTGTTTAAAAATAAGAATTGCTAGTATGCACCTGTAATTCCTTAGCTTTCTGGGAAGCTAAGTCAGGAGAATCACAAGTTCCCCAACCTGGGGAACTTAGCAGCTCAGAGAGACCTTGTCACAAAATAAAAAATAAAAAATGGGCTAGGGTTCAAGGCCCAGTACCAAAAGTAATGATAGCTGCTAATAATGTAACTGACAAAATTTGCGTAACAACTCTAGGTTTTCTAATAATTCTAAGTACAGCAATATGTCTTTTTTCCGCCTTACATTTATTTCTTTTTTTAGTAGTCATCTTTGAAACTGGGCCATATCTAGAGACTTTCTGGTACTTGGCAGATTATGTACTCAGCATACAGATTACAGGATGTGGTATGCTTATATGCTTAGCATAATGCCTGAAAATAATCAAGATGTGAATTCATTCAACAAACTTTATTACATATTAGTTAGGTGTCAGGCATTGTTCCAGATGCCAGGGACACTGATAAAAGAGACATAGTCATTTCCCTTAAATAGATCGTATTTAATTAGGGAGATAGTTAAGTAAAGAGAATAGTTCAGCATAGTAAGGTAAGTGATTTAAAAGAGGCAAATATATAGTGTTGGCAGGCGGCCGCAGGCCTTCGCATTTGTTAACTAGCATAGATGTGTCTGGGGAGAGGGGATGAACTGGAAGTAGGAAAATAGGCAACCAGTTAGGAGACCGGGTCCTACAGAAGAAACTGAGTCTTGGGATATAATAGTGGTGTTATTTCTGTGTTCCCGGCGGGTGCCTGCACAAGTATGTCTACTTGATTATTCATTCACCAAGTACTAACTAGCTCAGTACATAAGGACTTCATCAGTTTGTATAGAATGTCTTCTGAAAGCCCAGTTTATTACTCAACCATGTCTTAATTGGAAACACCTTAAAAAGGCCTATCACCTTTTCTGCTTCTATCTTGCTATATTCCTATTGAGGACATAGAAGTTTTTGTCTATCAACAGATCAGCATTTTGCAATCAATGTGTCATAATTTTTAATATTCATTTTCTTCATAGTTTTGGATGCCAACAGACAGTGAAGTGGTAGAAACCAAACAGGAAAGTGAATTCCATTTCTCTAAACTGAAGAGAAGGCAAGATTTGGAAAGAAAAAGAAAAATTAGAAAAATAGAGTGGATGAAACAAATGTAAGTGTATGAGATACTTAGACTTACTACAAAACTTTTTTCTTTTTTTGTCTTTTTGAGACAGGGTCTCACTATGCAGTTCAGGCTGGCATTGAGCTCACTTTGTAGCATAGGCTGGTCTTGAACTTGCAACGATCCTCCTGCCTCAGCCTCCTGAGTGCTGGGATTACAGGTGTGTGCCACCACGCCCAGCAAGAACTTTATTTTAGAGAAAACAAATTTGCAAAACTCATACTATTTGGTTCCAAGACTTATCAATCATGACATTTGTAGTATTGGCATAAAAACAGGCATAAATCTATGTGGAAAAGAATATAAAGTTCAGAAATAGGCCCATCAATATATTGTTAATCGATTCTTAGTAAAAGTGCCCAGGGAATTTATGAAATTGGGAAAAGATATTGTTTTCAACAAACTGGGTATTCAAATGCAGAAAAAAAAATGGACATTAAAATGACAGTGGTCCCTCAGTTCGTGAATAACGTGTTCCGTACTCCTGGGGAAGGTGGCCACGTTGCCGTCCATCCCTCAATGCGGAGTTCATGAAGGGAGGCAAAATTTTGCCCAGTTCTTCTCTTCTCCAGCCAAATTGTTCACAAACAGAGGCGTTCATGAACTGAGGCATCACTGTAACTCAGAAGAGATCATAGTTCTAAATATAAGAGTGAAGACCATAAAACATTTAAAAGTAATCAAAGGAGAATATTTTAGTGACCTTGGTTCTGGCAGTATTTCTTACATAGGATAGAAAATGCATGAACTATAAAAAAAAATACAATGATCCACACTTCAAATTTTTTGGTCTTTAACAATCTGTTACAAAAGTAAAACCATGAGGCATAGAAAAGGCTAAAAATAAAAACATATATATATTACAAAAGTCTTAAGTTTAGAACATACTTCTAAATTGTCAAAAGTAATGATAAGAGAGTATAATTTCAACATACGCCATAAATTTGAACAAACACCCTTCTCAGTGAAGATACATTGATAGCAAATCAAGCCGGGCATGCTGGTGCATGCCTGTAATCTCAGCACTCTGGAGGCGGAGGTAGGAGGATCTTTGTGAGTTTGAGACCAACCTGGGCTACAAAGTGAGCTCAAGGCCAGCCTGAAGTGCATAGCAACTGCATAGGGAGACACTGTCTCAAAAACAAACGAACAAAAAAAAACAAATCAGCTACTCCATTAATGCCTAATGTCATTAGGCATTACAGAAGTGCAAACCAAAACAATGAGATACCCCCATACCCCAACTAGAACGGCCAAACTTCTCTGCCATATTAATTGTTGGCAAAGATACAGAGCAAATGCAAGCCATACAGGTACTTTGGAAACATTCTGGCAGGGCTTTTTAAGAGGTTTTTTGAGCCAGGGTCTTGCTGTGTAGCTCAGACTGCCTCGAACTCGCAGAGATGTTCCTGTCTCGCCCAAGTGCTGGAATTACAGGCCTGAGCCATCACCTGGCAGGTGTTTTTGGTTTTTGTTTTTTTTTAAAGCAATTTAACACACCTACTAATAACTCAGCTATTCCACCTTTAGGTATTTACTAAAGTGAAATAAAAAACTGTTCCACAGAAAGACTGCATATAGATGTTTATACCAGGTTTATTTGTAATAGCCCCAAACCACAAACAACACACATGTCCATCAACAGGTGGATGCATAAACAAATTGTGATTTATCTCTACACATGTAAGAATAGTATTCATCAGTACAAAGTCTTTTGTTTTTTGTTTTTTGGTTTTTTTTGTCTTTTCTTCCAGTACCAGGAATCGAACTCACGACCTTGCGCTTGCTAGGCAGACGCTTTGCCACTAAGTTAAATCCTCAGCCCCTCATCAGTACAAAGTAATGGACTGTTGATACACATAACAATATGAATAAATCTCAAAATGAATGAAATTTTAAAAATCGTATACCGTATAATCCCATTTACATGAAATTCTAGAAGACATAGATCTAGAGTGACAAAGGTAAGCAGTTGGCTGGAGATGAAAAGGGAGGATTACCAGGAGGTGCGAGGAGGCCGAGGGGAATGGCTAGGTGAAGTTTTGTATTGCAGTGGTATATGCAGAGGTGTGTATACCTGCAAACCTTCAACTTGTACAGTTAAATGCATGGTTGACCGTACCTCAGTCACAGCTCATAGTTGTAACATCTTTTGAAGTGTGTGGGCGGACAATCAGAGGACCGTCAGTGCAGCTTTGAAGTAGTTCTTCATCTCCTGTAGTTGCAGGGTGAGTTGAGCGCAGCCCAACTACCAGGTCGTGGAGCTCCTGCGCGTTCAGTGCAGCGAAGTCCTCGGCCCTGCCAGGTCTTCCGCACTGGAATAAGGGTGCTAGTGAGGAAAGAGTGCGGTCCTGAGGCTTGGGATGAGTCCTCTGAGAGGATGAGGCTAAGAACCTTAAGCCTCCAATCTCCCTCGGGAGGGGAGGAAAACCTTGTTGCCCCTTTTGAGGAAAGAGCAGCCCACTCCTGCATACAGCGTCGTTAGTAACTGCACTAGTGCCTGGCCACGGAAGCCCACGCTGATTCTCCTCCGAATCCCCTCACACCCTCTCTGATGGTCTCTAGCTCACCGTGAGAGCTGTATCCGGGAGAGCCAGACAAGGAGGCACAGGCTCTCCTCTGACTGTATACAGCTTATCAATCAAAAGACTTACAAGAACTTACCACTATCTTATCAGGAGCCTTCAAAGCGCTGTGTGAGGATAGAATCTAAATCTGTCAGAGGAAGAATTGCTTGGGCCGACTTATGAACACAGCCACACTCCCAGGAGTTACAGATTTAAATGAGCACTCAGAAATGATACCAATCTGGTGGGCCAGTTAATCCAAGCGTGAACTCGATTTCCGGCATTATAAAATGCCCGGATGTCCTCGGTATAGTGTAGGAATAGGTATCGTAAGACTGTAAGTGTGTGTTTCTATTATGTGCAATTTACTTAGCCTTCCACTAGTCATATTCTAGGAGGGCCCAGATTATACCCTGTTCTTCAAGTTATTAAGAAACGGCTTGTGGAGGGAACAGCAGAATTCTTGCAAATTCCGTCCTTTATAGGATGGAGAAGACGGGGGGGGGGGGGGGAGAAAGCTGTGCGGGCACTGGTTCCTTCAGCTCAAGGGTCCCAAAACCCGAGGCACTGGATCAGGACCAGTAGCAGTCTGTGGCCTGCGAGGACACAAGCGGTGAGCTGTATTTGCAGCTGCTCCTCGGTGCTCACACTACTGCCTGAGCGCCACCTCCTGTCAGATCAGCAGTGGCATTAGAGTCTCCTAGGAGCATGAACCCGACAGCAAACTGCATGTGCAAGAGAGCTGGGCTGTGCAGTCCTGTGAGAATCTAATGCCTGATGATCTGAGGTGGAGCTGAAGCATTAATGCTAATGCCGGGGAGTGTAATTACTCTGTATTACAAATGCATGCCAGTAAAAACGGAAACCTCCCCCATAGTCTGTAGAAAAATTATCTTCCAAGAAACCAGTCTCTAGGGCCCCAAAGGCTGGGGATCACAGGAATAAAGGGATGTTGAAGTACACAGATCAGACAGACACAACTGCAGCGAGGCCTCCAGATGTGACCTCTTTAACAGAGCAAATCAGTGCAGCCCTGGGTGCTAACTATGCCATTACTGACCTGACAAATGGTTTTTTCCATCCAAATCACTAAGTGAAAAGCAGTTTTCACTTGCATGGAAAGAACAGGATGTATCTTTCTCTCTTCTGCTCAGAACTGTATCCCTTTTCCTGCTGTCCTGCCTAAGAGCTTGCATACCTTGCTGCACGCAGAACATCGTACCTGTCTATCATGTTGATGAACTTACACTAACTGGGCACAGTGAGCAGAAAAATAAGCTCCCTGGGTAACGGAGTAGGACAGGTATACACTAGGAAAAGAACAATAAATTTTGCAAAAAGTTAGTGTACAACATATGTGAAGCTCACATACATTTTGAGATGTCTTTTCTAAGTTGAATCAAGTAGTTGCCATACCCTCTACCATCTGCCTTGAAGAAGAAAAACACCAACACACTCCCTCCAGTCCTGGGGATTGAACAAGGGCCTTCCCTCTGAGCTACCTCCAAGCTCTCTTTTAATTTTGCACTTTAAAGCACAGTCTCACCACTAAGTCACTGAGCCTGGGCTCAAACCCACTTACTAGGTGACCTGGGAAAGCCACGAGACTCCACTGGGACACAGAGCAGGGAAGAGCCCTGGAGTGGGTCCACAAAGTGGTCAGGCTGCCGATCACTCGGGCTTTATGGCTCAGCCATCCCAACTCCTTGGAAATGTCTGTAGCAAACCATGAAAACTGTGTGGAACCTCAAAGAAGTCCCAGAAGGAGAATCATGGCAAAGATCTCTAGGGTTTAGGAGTAAGGCAACACTTTCCTTTGCCAAAAGTTATTCTCTATTTGAAAACCAGTTCCAGGCTTGCTGCTGGGCATAAGTAAAAACTCAGTGTTTGACAATAGGATATTAAATGCTTTGTGACTGCGAACTGACCTCACTCTGTCTAATCCACTAAACCATAAAGATGAGAGTATATTGCATTGTTTCTGTATAAAACACTTTTTCTGAGAATGGGTCTGAGAAAGTACAGAAGGTCCAAGTAAACTGCATGAGCAGGTGACTCAGATTCCTTCAACTACAACTTATGTTACATTACTTCTGTGTCATCTTCATGCTTTTGGCTGCGTAGCGAGTTCCTACATGAAGTTAATAGAGAAACATAGCAGACCAAATTACTGTGGGTCTGTACAGGATGCTGGCACCATCCCCAAATGGATCTCCAACAGTTGGCCCAGAAAATGGTCAACGGATCCTTTTAATGGGCACAACTGTAGGTGATGCCTTTGATTTTCAACTTTATGCAGAATGGGAAATAGCTCAAGGCATGGAAATCACTGACTGCGAGGTAGCTAATAGGTTCTCATCTGATTAGCCTTTAGGAGCTTGTTTGGCGGTTTTGGCAGGGGAGCGCAGTTACTCATATACCCTTGACCAAGGAACAGTCCTCCTCTATGGGCGGTGGTCGTCCTCTTCCGCTGAGAGCGCAGCTCCGGAAGGGGTGCACGTGGAGTGCTGTGGGAGGAAGCGGCACCTGCTGACCAGCCAGATCAGCTGAATCAACCTTGGTGATCAGTGGGGTGACAGATATCGCAGCCAGATGACCCTCACATCCCAGCATTTGGAACAAATAAAATTGGAAAATTGGTGACTAGTTCAGGAAGTATATTCAGAGTAGACACAAAGTATATTTATGTCCCCTGTGAATGCCCTCTGAAGAGGCTTAGCTGAGACAGTTCTCAATAATCAGATAGACTACAGTGGTGGTGAGCCTATGGTGTCTGTGTTATTTGTTAAGACAAAAGATGTTAACTTATGAGTTGTGTTTTCTCAGCCAAAACTTCAGTATTCTGGTTTAATTGCAGTGTTGGCACTTTACAATAAACAAGTGGGTTTTCGGTTGCAGTTTGGGTGCTCGTCTCTAAAAGGTTCGCCATCACCGGAATGGATGATCCATCTTGTGGATGTCTGCTTATTTCTCCTGATTATCTTAGTTGTGCCATGGAGCCATGTACAGAGGCCAAGGTTGCAGAGATGGAAGCTAAGTGTGTATATACTCAACAGCATGGTCTTCCCTTTACCAAGGCTGTTCTGGCTATTGATACAGCTGAGCGCATAGCAAAGGTCACTGCTTTGCCCCCAGTAATGAGATGCTGGCAACCTCGTGACAGACGGATTATACTGGGGGCCCGCGCCATAAGAGAGCAGGCATCCCTTTGTCCTCACAGCGACAAATACTCTGAATATGAATTCTATTTGCATGTCTGCATTGCGTCGGTCCGTAGCACTGTTCATTACAGGATAACTATTGCCATGTCGCTAAATCAGAAAGGAGCGACCTAGGAAAATCATGTGGGATGTAGGTAATGGGGAACCCTTTACATGTTTTAAGGAAGGAAGGGATTTGTATTTTAGACCTGGCACTTCAGGAAGGAATCTCTCTCCACAGAGGACCAATTGGAGAGCGAACTCAGCACATGATGTATGTAGGAAAAATGTCGAGAGCCCATAGTAAAGAATGAAAGAAAATGTCAGATTTGAGAGATACTGGGGAAGTAGCATTAATAGGACTTGTTGAAAGATACACACAAGCAGGATAACCCCTACATTTCTGGCTTGCATGACTTTAAACATGATGCTAATATAAACTGAAACCAGAAGAACACTAAAAAGAAACAATTTCAGTAAGAGATGTGTTTAAAGTATTTTTTTATCTGTTGATTTTTCACACATACATCATGTACTGAGTTTACTTTCTAATTGGTCCTCTGCAGAGAACGATGCCTTCCTGAAGTGACAGTTCTAAAATACAAACCACTTCCTGAAAACATGTAGAGGGTTCCCCATTGTCTACATCCCACATGATTTTCTTCTTTAGGTTGCTCCTTTCTGATTTAGCTACATGGCAATAATTGCTTCCTCTCTTTTCCTCACATTTTTATTAGTGCATATTACTGTACAGATTAATAGGTTTCATTTTGGCAGGCGTGTCCATGCACATAATAGCCAGCAATCATTCCCTTCCCTAACACATTTTGATACTTGGCTCAAGTATCTCCTTCTGAACCCTTCTCTGATCTACCTAGGTTAGTTAGATACTACTTTTTGATGTACCCTACATATCTTTTATATAGTCAGTGTTATGGTTTGTACCTAGATGCCTCCCCAAGCCTCAGGCACTCATATGAGGGGCTCCTCAAGCTGACTGGATCATGGGGGTGTGACACTTACCTGTGGATCAGTCCACTGGTGAGTTTATATCTAAATGTGAGGTTGGGAGGTGAAGCCTGGTTGGAGGTGGTCACTGGGGGTGTGGCCTGGGTCTCCCTCCCTCCTCTGCTGGCCCTCTGCCTCCCATATTTGTAGCAGCACAATTCGTAATAGCTAAAGCTTGGAACCAGTCTCTATGTCTACCAATAGAAGAATGGATACAGAAAATGTGATACCTATTCACAATGGAGCATCCTCTGCCATAAAAGAGAAGCTTCAGTCATTTGTAGGAAAGTGGATGCACTTTGAGACCGTAATAGTAAGTGAAATAAATCAGACACACAGGCTTGACTATCACATGGCTTCTCTTATATGAGAAACCCAAAATGAAGAGCAAAAGAAAGGATAATATGAAAAAAGGAGATCTTTTGCAAAGGAGAAGGAGACTAAGGGATGGAGGGAGTGGAGTGGAAGGGAATAATAACAAATGAAGATCTGTTATGTGCATGTACCAACTCCCTACGAGGACTATAGTCCTTATGTACTACAAACATGTACTAATAAAACTGGAAAGAAAAAGTGCTGGTGAGAACGTGAAGTATATGTGCTGTGTGGGGGGCTCCTCCTATACTGAAAACCCCTTTAGTGGGCTCCAGCTTCCTGCCAGGTGTTTCAGTGCACGATGAGAAGAAAGAGCAAGAGGTGAAAAAGCAGCACAGCAGGGATCTGGGATGACCAGTTGTTCGCGGGGAACAAAAGGCCACGAGGTAGCCAGAACCTCGGTATTTATAGGTCACACGCTGGGGAAAATGGCAGCTGGGCGCGCTGGGCAAGTGGCCAGGCAGGCCAGGCTTGTAAGAGCGGGAACAGGGCATTTTTGTGAAAGGGATAGCAACAGCCAGACTTAGGTTATGGTTAATGTGTAACCAGCTTTGTGGCCAGTTCTGGGAAGGAACTGACTCCTCTGGAGTCATGCGGGCCTTGCAGAAACCTTACCTTGTAACTTCTATTATGAAGACAACACGTACACAGCCTCACCCAGACTTACTCATTAAGCCGAAAGCCAATTGAGGGAAGTCACCTCCGTATGGCCTACACTGCTCGCAAGAGAGCACAGCACACTGGGGTCTGGGACGATGTGGTGTCCTCCACACCCCTATAGTGCCGGGAGGAGTGTAAATTAGCATAGCCACTGTGGAAATCAGTCTGGAGTTTCCTTAAGAAACTACAAATAGAGCTATCATGTGACCCAGTTATACCACTCCTATACACAGGAAGGAGGTCAAGTCAGTCTGCAGGGCGGCCTGCATCACTGCGGCACAGTTCACAACAGCAAGGACATGGTACTGGCCGAGATGTCCGTCAACAGATGAATGGATAAAAACAAGGCATAAATGCACAATAGAGTTTATCTGGCCACGAAGAAAATGCAATTTTGTCATCTGCAGGCAAATGGAAGGAACTGGAGATCTCACGTTAAGCAAAATGAGCCAGATGCAGACAAGCATAGTGTGTTCTAATGTGTGGAATCTACAAAAGACAACAAAAAAGCAGAAGACCATTGTTAGACAAGAGGAATGGAATAAGGGAGATCGGGGAAGGTGGTGCAAAGGAGCTAATGAGGGGATGAATATGATTAACATATTTGCATGTTTGATATGCCAGATTAAAACAGTATTTTGTAAAATAGGTACTAATAAAAATATTTTTTAAAGTGCAACTTAAGGGCAGGCGGTTTTTAAGAGGGTTTTCTGGTTAATGTGGTTCCTTTACCTCCCTCCCTCCAATATTCCATCACATGGGTCCTGGTTTAGGTGTGTCTGACTGATAAGATGAAAACTTAGTGTATAGTTTCAATCCATAAAAGGCAACAGTATTTATCAACTGCATGTACTTGTAATCAGCTAGTGAAGGGGCTTATGTCTCCTCTCTTCTGTTTAGGTACTACGCGGGCAGCCTGGAGGCCAAGTCAACTCATTACGAAACTCTGGGTTTAATTCATACAGCAACGAAAGGGCTCATCAGAACCATGGAAGGTGGTGGGATCGATTCCGTGATGGAATGGGAAGTGGATGAAGTGCTGAACTGGACGAACACCCTCAACTTTGACGAGTAAGTACAGGTTGCCGCACGTGAGGAACAGAGGCAATCATTATTTTCTCGCTAACATTCCCATGTTGGATCCTGGGGCCACAAACATAATCTTCAAAAAATATTATTTATCTAAACAGAAAAGAAAAATATTAAAGATTTTAAAAGTCAGTGGTCCAAAAACAGAGAAAAGATAGATGTTTTTTTATTCTCAGAATCTTACTTTATTTTTCTTTTGGTTTTTTTGGGACAGGGTCTCGCTTTGTAGTTCAGGATGGCCCTGAACTCTCTGTAGTCCAGGCTGGCCTCGAATTTGCAGGGATCCTCGTGCCTCAGCCTCCCGAGTGCTGGGACTATAGGTGTGCGCCACCACACCTGGTTTCAGATTTTATTCTTATACATAGTCTAACTGTGCTTTGTTCTTTCTTGGAATTTAGTAGCAAGCCTAAAAATATCAAATTAATTATACAAGGAATCCCATCAATCTATATTCTCATCTTTCTGTGAGATATTAAAATGTTATCAGGATTTTGTATACTGAAAATTTTAAAATATTTAGTATAGTTAGGAAAATGCAAATCAAAATCACAGTGAGATACTGCTTCATATCTACTAGCAAGATTATACTTAAAATGCAGATAAAACAGTTGGTGAGAGTCTGGAAAAATTGGAATCCTGACACTTTGCTAATAGGTTTTTTTTGTTTTTTTTCTGGTACCGGGAACCGAACTCACGACCTTGCGCTTGCCAGGCAGGCGCTTTGCCGCTGAGCTAAATCCCCAGCCCCTCTTTGCTAATAAGAATATGCACTACTACAGCCACTTTGGAAAACAATCTGACAGTTTTCTAAATTGTTAAACACAGAGTTGTGTTATGATCTAGCAATTACACGCCTATGTAAGAAAAATACATGTCTACACAAAAAACTGCACATGAATATTCATCGAAAGATTATTTCATAATAAGCAGCAAATAGAAACAACTCAAATATCCATCAACTGGGCTGGGGATTTAGCTCAGCGGCAAAAGAGCCTGCCTGGCAAGTGCAAGGTCGTGAGTTCGGTTCCTGGTACCGAAGAAAAACCAAAAAAAAAAAAAAAAACCCACAAAATCAAATATCCATCAACTGATGAATGGACAAATAAAATGTGATATCTAATTGACAACCAAAGTAGTAATGATATATAATATTGATGAAACTCCTAAGGGAAAGAAAGGACCATATATCCTATGGTCCATGCCATGTCCAAAATAAGCATGTTTACAGAGACAGAAAGTAAATTAGTAGTGGCTACCCAGCACTGGGGAGTTGGGGGAATAGGGATGTGAGGGTTAAGGAGGTTGGATTTCTTCTAGGGGCAGTAATAATGTTTGAACATTAGTTCTGGCAGCCTGGCACGGTGGCACACACCTGTAATCCCAACACTCAGGAGGCTGGGACAGGAGGATCGACATGAGTTCAAAGCCAGCCTAGGCTACATAGTGAGTTCAAGGCCAGCCTAAACTATATAGGTCAGGATTTTGTCTCAAAGATTTTGTCTCAAAAACACCAAAAAATTGATTGTGGTAATGGACACAAAATTTCTGTGAATATACCCAAAAAACCCATTGAACTGAATACTTTAAATGGGTGAATTATATGGCAAATTAATCTGAATAAAGCTGTTAAAAATTTTCAGTGTATACTCAGCTACAACAAGGACTCTGAATACTGCACAGGCAAAAAGGAGAGAAGTTACAGTGAGGATAGTTCAAGAAAATGACAGAAGTTAGATAGTAGGAGAAAGAAAATAGAAATTAAAAAAATCAAAAATAATGGTCATTGAACAATGGAACATGAAAAATACCAAACTAAGTAGAAAAGATAATGAGAAAGGGATAAAGGAAGGAAAAAAGAGGATTAACAAATGAAGTTAAGAACATAATAAAGAAGACATTGATGAGGAGGACATACTGTAGTTACATGCCACGTAACATTTGGTAAATGACTGACCCTGTGTTGGAGGTAGTCCCTCGAAATTATAATGGAGCAGTCAGTCACCTAGTGATATCATGGCCATTATATTGCAGTGCGTCACTCACGTGTTTGTTAGAGGCTAGTATGAATGAACTTCACACATTGCCAGTGGTTTTTTTGTATTACATTGACTATGAAGTGGGATAAATATATCTCCCTTTGATATAATGAGTAAATGAAAATTTTTTCCCTTTTTGTTATTGTATTTTGCAATGCATCATAATTGCACTTATTTTAGGAGATTGGTATGTGGACATAGCATTATCTTGATAATTTTCAGTCTCTTTGCACTTCTCCCTTCCCGCCCCTCCTCTCTTCTCTCTGATCTTCTAATAAGTCTGCCTTGTTTCCCACCGTCTCTTCTTTGCTTCTTATTTATTTATGTTTTGGGTTTCTTATATAAGGGAAACCATGTGATGTTTACCTTTCTGTGTCTGACTTATTTCACTTAATATCGTCGTCTCACGTTCTAGCCATTTTCATGCAAATGGCATGATTTCATTCTTTATATCTGAGTGACATTCCAGTGTATATTCACTTTTTAAAAAATCCACTCATTTTTTTGATGGGCATCTAGGCTGTTCCCAGACCTTAGCTATTGTGAGATGTGTTGCTATCAACACGGGTATGCATTTATCACTGTAGTATGAAGTCTAACACTTTTGGGAACATACTCAGGACAAGAGGTACGGCTGGGCCAAAGGGAATTTCTTAGTTTTTTTAGGAATCTCCATACTGATTCCCATAGTGGTTGTACTAATTTACATTTCCACCAACGTAGTATAAGTGTTCCTTTCCCCCCATAATCACCAGTATTTGTTGTTTTTTATGTCCTTGATGATAGTCATTCTGACGAGGGTGACACGGAATCTCAAAGTTGTTTTAATGTGCATTCCCTAATGGTTAAATTGGATGAACTTTTTTCATGTACTTATTGGCCATCTGTGTTACTTCTTTTGAGAAGTGTCTGTGGGTTTGTTTGTCCATCATTTGATTCATTTGTTTTTAGGGGTGTTACTTTTGTTCTTTGTACATTCTAGATATTAGCCTTCTAACAAGAATAGTTGGCAAACATGTACCCATTCTGTAAATGTTTATGTAAGTCTGTTCTATTTTGCTTTGCTTCCAGTAGAGTGAGAAAAACAGATCTAATTTCAATCTTCTGCATATGGATAAACAGTTTTCCCAGCACCTTTTTTCTTTTTTTTTTTTTTTTGGTACTGGGAATCAAGCTTATGACCTCGCACCTGTAAGGCAGATGTCATGTCACTGAGCTATACCCTTGGCCCTTCCCAACACCATCTGTTAAAAGTAAGTTATCTCCAGTATAGTCTTTCTCCAACATAGTCTTTTGGTTACTTTGCCAAAAGTCAGATAAAGGATACACAGGGTTGTTTTCATGTCTTCTATTCCACTGATCTACATGTTTATTTTTGTGTTGGTACCATACTCTTTTTGTTAGCATAGTTTTGTAGTATAACTTGAGATCTGGAATTACAATGCCTCCCACTTTGCTCTTCTTGCTCAAAACTGCTGGGCTAGTCTGAGTCTCTTCTGTTTCAATCTAAATTTTTGAATTACTTTAATAACCCAGTGAAGAATGTTGTTGGTATCTTAATGGGATGCATATATATCTACAGATCACTTTTGACCATTTAATTGATACTCTGCCGACCAAAAGGAAAAGAAGGCTTTCCATTTTCTTATGTCCTCTTCAGTCTTTCTTCAGTGTTACACAGTGTTCATCACAAAAGTCCTTCATCGCCTTGGTCGGTTAATTTCCAGGTATTTCATTTTTTTAAGCTATCACAAATAGAATTATTTTCCTGATTTCTCAGTGGGCTCATTATTGGTATATAGGAACACTATTGATTTCTGTGTTCCCTGTAATTTCACTGAATTTGCTTATGAGATCTAAGAGTCATGTGGTGTTTTTTGGGTCTTCTCTATAGAGGATCCTATCACCTGCAAATAGAAATAGTTTGACTTCTTTCTCTTTTCTTTTCTTTTTTCTTTTCCTTCTTTCCTATTTGCATCCCATTTCTTTTGCTTCATTGCTCTGACTGAAGTTTTCAGTATGATACTGAACAGCAATGGTGAAAGTGGATATCCTTGTTTGTTCCTGATTTTAGGTTTGCTTTCAGTTTTCCTGTTCACTATGATATTGGCTATGGATTTGTCATTTATGGTTTTTCTTATTTTAAGGTAAGGTCCTTCTATATGTATATCTGAAGGGATATTGAATTTTGTCAAAGATTTTCTCTGCAGAATTCAGTAAATCATTAAAAAGATCATACACCATGTCCAAGTTGGCTTCATCCAGAGATGCAAGGATGGTTCAACATACATGAATCAATATAATACACAACATGAGAATAATCAAGAATAAAAATCACATTATCTCAATAGATGCAGACTGTTGTTGATATCCTATTGTTGATTCTCCTGTAAAACTTAAGGTATCAACTGGTGCTGGCTTGTTCTTTTAAAAAAGTTCTTTTTAAACCATGGAATAAATTCATACCCTGCTCTTGAAGTAGTGATCAGTGATTGGTCTTAAACACAGCTAAGTTTATAGCCCCGAGTGTCAGATCTGAGCATACTATTGAACAGGTTTTTTGGTTCCTTCAGAATGGAATGAAAACATTTTGGTATACAAATCGAAGGGAACAGTGTGATTGCCATCTAATTCATCATAGTGTTGAGCAACCACTGAAAGGACAAAGTTTTCCTTAATTAACCAACCTAAATTTAAACAGACTGAATTGCTTACTAAGATCCCAGAAGGGGTTGTGTCCTTTCATGTACGTGACCCAACAGCATCCCATGTAAGGACACAGAGTAAAGCTCAGGGAAGAGCAGTGAAAAGGAACCATCTTCACATACAGCACCTTACTACAGCTAAACACTATTAGAAAACATGCATCTTCCTACAGCAAAGATCTCAAGAGCTTAGGACTACCAAAAGTAACAACAATTCAAATGGAATAACTCTGAAAAATCAGTGTTTTTTCTGAATTACATGAAAACTCTAATATTCCTCATTCTCTGCCAGCTCCTTTTCAACTCACCTGATTCGGGCCACTGGGAGGAGTCTTGGCAAAGGGTGTAGAAGTCTAAGGAGAAACAAGTCCCAGCAAACTGCCTCTTGACTTTCCCTCACCTGCACAGGTTCCCCTGCCTTGCTCCTCCCTACTCCCCTCTTTAACTACTCTGGTCTCCCTACTGCAGCTCCTGTTTCGGGAGCTGAGGTGTGAACCGCTCTACCTGAATAGTCTATATTTTCTGGACAATGGAAAGACAGCATATCTCAGTCACTTTCTTTGTTGCTGGGACAAAACACCAGGCACCACCAGCCTAAAAAGGAGAGGTGTTTTGTCTCACAGTTCAGGGTTCAGTCCATGTCCAGCCGGCTGACGTACAAGTCATGACAAAAGGGCCTGGGCAGAGGAAAGCTGCCTTCCTGGGGGCCAGGAAACAAAGCGGGCAGGAGCTGGGCATGCTGCCACACCCCCATTGCCTGCCTCTAACCAGGCCCCATCTCCTAACATCAACAGTGCCCCCTTGGTTCAATCATCTCCCAAAGCCCTGTCTCTGACTGCTCTTCAGAGACTATTTACTTACTGATAGTTTTTTTGAGACAGTCTCACTAAATAGTTCAGGTGGGCCTTGATCTCACTATGTAGCCCAGGCTGGCCTCAAACTTGTGGCAATCCTCCTGCCTCAGCCTCCCAAGTGTTGGCATTAGAAGTGTGTGCCAACATACCTGGCTTTTCAGAGACATTCTTGATCTAAATCTTAACTACTAAAATCATAAACCACTGGCTTCCAATTTCCATTGAGATGTCAGCATTAGTGGTCTGATAAAGTAGAACCAAGGAGAAAGTTTTTGTTATTCTCTCTGACTTTTTCTTCTGAGAGTTTTCTGTCCATACTTTAAATTTAGAAGTTATTAACTGACATATTATCAGGCCCTCAACTGAGGATCTTGCAGGAATGAAATAGGACAAAATGAGGACACAGGCTGGAGGGAAATAAAAGGATACCAATAAGGTAAGAGATTGGGCCCCGTTTTAATAACCTCCTCCAACTCCTTGTCCTGGAGGTTGCCTTACAATGCATGTGGCCTCCTAGGAGATAGGAAAGTCATGAAAGTTAAACACTGAGACTACCGATTTGTCACCTTTAACTTACACATGTACTAATAAATCAGCTCATTACATAATAAGTCTATTTAACTTAATGCCCACAACTTAGGTATATTGCCAACTGGAAGCAAATTGCTACAAGCAACTCCTCAGTTAACTTCAAAGGTAGGTGAATTTTTAAAGCAATACTTTATGGCGAATTCTCATGATCTAAAGTGATACGTTTCATATATATAAATATTTCTAAGCACCCAACATTTTAGTACCCTGCACAGTGCCTAGGTGTGAAGGAACCTGCCATTTTAACATCTGCACAGAAGACTGCCATTTGGGAACAGACAATTGTAGACAACAGACAATTCCCAAGTGACAATTCCGTATTATTTAGGATTGAATGAGAAAACTTGAAGTGTTACATGGCTCAAGGTTTCAGCAGTAATTTTTAATAAGCAAACTTTATTTGGAAAAGTAAAGGCCTCCCAATATTAGAAGCTTTTTTTTTTAGGTTCTGTACCGCTGTGGTGCTTCTCAGGGTCCACAGAACTTCTGAAAGTGACAGGCAGCACACTGAAGTGTGTCATTGTATCACAGAAATACCACTAATTCTAAAATAGCCAAACTTAACTATGGTTGTGGTGTGATGTGAGTTTGAGTTCTCTCATTGCTACTTTATGTGAGAGGCACAGCAGAGAGTTATGACTGTGGAGTCCTGGTTTGATTTTGGCTCTACTGCTTACTGACTGAGTGACCTTGGACAAGCCAGAGGTTCAGTTTCCTCACCTGTAAAATAGTAACACTACTGCTTAACTTACAGGTTGTTGTTAGATACTAGGACGGACGGGTAGGTAGGTAGGTAGATATCACATCTAAAATAGTGCCTGGCACATAATACATTCTCCATAAACAGGAGCTACCATCCACATCCACCCAGTCATTTATTTCCAACTCACCGCCACCACCCCAGCCTAATGTACTGTCATCTTCCACAGGTTTCTTCAGTGACCTTCAAACTGACACTTCACCCTATTCTCTACACAACAGATAGTGCAAACTCTTCTTTAGCAATCTCAAGAAGTACTGTCTTGAGATGGTTTATAGAATTAACTCATTCAATTTTTAAAACAACTAAAACAGGTTGTTATCTGCCTTTTACAGAGGAGCACACGAAGATATTCTGACATGCTCAGAGTCAGCTAGTTTGAGGGCCAGGATGTGAAGTGAGGCATGTTAGCTAAGAATCCATACTTACTTAGGCAGGATCATACCCTGCTGCCTGCCTCCCATAGCACTCCATCACAGTGAACTCCCAAGCTGATCGTGGGCTCTGCCTCTGGCCCAGCTTCCCAGTTACATGCTCCATTCTCTCCTGCAGCTGGAACTCCTGTTCCTAAAACACATCATGTAGTCTGGACTAATAGCGTTCATGTTCCTCCAGAACAGCTCCCCATAACTATCTTTACCAAAGGGCAGGGAGCTACAGAAATCCCAATGTATAGCACACAGATTTTCACTGACAGATCAAAGCATATAAGGGAATAGCAGGTACAAAAAGGAAACAATAACAATATAAATTATTGAGTTAAAAGACTACTAGGAAAAGAAAAGATACAGGATGGTTGTTGGAAGGAGCATGATAATTAGTGAAAATAGTCTTTAGTGGAGATCTGTATAACTAGAGCCAGTGAAGAGGGTGATACACTGAAGATATGGGCACTGGAGGGGAATGTGTACCACTTCAAGAAGGTCGAGATCAAATCCAGAGCAGATATGGGAACTTTAGCTCTGGAATGGGAAAAGGTATTTACTTCTTCGTGAATAAAGAACCACTAACAATTAAATATAGAGCACTTGCTAAATGCCAAATATGATGCCAAATTCTTTATATAACCATGACATTTAGTTTTCATCAAAACATGAGGTGGGGTGCAACTGTTTTCCCAGTTTGGACAAAGTCACCAAAACTTTGAGAACTTAAATAACTGTCCCAAATTATGGCTATTCAATCAAACCCCAATCTCCTGTCTTACAGAGCCATTTAAAAATAGAGGGGCAGTGATTTATGGTATTGAAAGGATGAACTAAAAAACCGGCACACTGATGGTTTTGGTTAAACACACAGTCTAAGAGTGGTAAATCCACAGGTCTTACCTGGCATACTGAATGAGTATGTCCTCACAGCCGGCATCTTTCTAACCATTTGTCGTTTTCTTTAGGTTTCAGTTTTGAGCAAGCAAAGAACAATACGTATGACTACAAAGATGAGTCAGAGGCACAAACAGGAGCACCATATGATATGTTATATGACAATGTTTATAAAAAACCACACTCTACTAGATTAACCCCCGACTCCACTTATGGAATGTAAACATAGTGTACTTTTATTTTCTCAGCTCTGGCCCTTCGAGCCCTGCATTTATCAGCGGGAGCTAAGAGACAGCTCATTCTGACAAGAGTAACTTGTGTATGTATTCTTGTCACAGATTCTAGCCCAGTTAAATCAGGAAGAGTGAACAGAAATAGAATGTGAGCCCGAATACAGTGGTCATGGAAAAATAGAGAAATTATTCTTGATATTGAGAAACTGTAGTAGTCTAACAATCACACTTAAATAAAGATACTACCTTTAAATGTTTAAAAATCTTCATACTGATGATTTTCCCTGACTGGTCTTTTGTGCAATCATGCAAGACAGAGCTCTCTGTACATTCATCTCAAATCCAAGTAAGACTTGCTTCCTTCTCACCTCTCCCACTTCCCTTCATCCTTTTATTTCTCCACTAAACTTTAAAAAATATTCACATGTAACAGTACATACTTATGGGGTACACAACATGTACTTATCACATCAGGGTAATCAGCACTCCTAACACCTTACCGTTTACTGTCTGGAGCCTTCGAAGTCACTCTCTTGTAGTTCTTCATAAAATATACATAGACTATTGTGAACTACGGTCTCCCGCTGTGCTGGGAACACCGGAACATTCCTTCTGTTTTGGTTCCCATCACTCATCCTCCGAACTCCCCACCCTCACTGTTCCTCTGGGTTAGCATTCTTTGGTGTTGGCTTTTCCCCTCCATCCACGTGCAAGAACATCCGGTGTACGTCCTGTCTGGCTTACTTCACTTAATGTGCTTCCGTTTCACCCACTTCGTTACAAGTAACAGGGTTCCATTACTCTTTATGACACGAGTACCCCACTTGTGTTTCACACTTTCCACTCATCCACTGATGGGCACCTAGGCTGGCTCTGCGTCTTGGCTGCTGTGAACGCTGGTCCAGGGCCCTGAGAGTCCAGGTATTTCTTTGGTAATGTATACCAGTTTCATTTCCTTTGGCTATATACCCAGAAGTGGGAATTTTGGGTCACATGATTTAATCTTTTGAGGAGCCTCCATACTGTTTGCTTTTTTTTTTTTTTTTTCATACTGTTTTCTATATTTGCTATACTAATCTACATTTCCACAAACAGTATTGAGTTCATTTTCTCCACATCCTTTCCACCCTTTTAGTCATTCCATCTGCACTGAGGTGGTAATCTCATTGTACTTTCAATTTGCATACTCAACGTTTTTCCAAATATTTGTGGCCATTTTAGTTCTTCTTTTGAGAATTTATCTATTCAGATCACTTGCCCATTTTAAAATTGGATTATTTGGTTTAATTTTTTGAATTCTTTATACAGTGTATTTTGGATAGCCGCCTTTTATCAGATCGACTGTTTCCAAGTATGCCACACTGGTCTAGGTGGACTCCTCAGTTCGCACTGAGATACCAACTGCCTGTCTTCCCCAGACTGTGACTCTCTATATGGGCTGGCTATGCCTGTTGTACTCACCGCTGTCTCCTGATGAACTAGCCCTAGGCCTGCCACATGTATTATTCAAATTATTTGAATAAAATGAGTCTTAGCATACACTGTCTTCTAAAATTTATTTAAAAAACACTATGATAGATACAGATAACAGTAAAATCAAGAAATACATTTAGTCATACTAAAATAAACCTATATGAAATATAATTTCACTGAGGTTCAATTGAAACACTTGAATGGCAAATTTCTCTCAAGTCTGTATACTGGCCTTGTGTTTTCTTTTCCTTTTCTTTTTTTTTTTTGAGACAGGATCTTGCTATATAATTCAGGCTGGCCTTGAATTCCCGGTAATCTACCCGCATCCTTCCAAGTGCTGGGATTACTGGTGTGTACCACCACACTGGCTAGTCTTCTCGTTTTTGACAGTCTACCTAGTTTTAATCTTTGAAAGGCCCAAAGGTTTCCCTTTCTGTTTTTATTTGCTTTATACCATATTTAAATTTTTACTGAATTTCTAAATGCATTTTTAGCTGATTCTTTTTTTTTTTTTTTTTTTTTTCCAGTACCAGGAATTGAACTCACGACCTTGCACTTGCGAGGCAGGTGCTGTGCCGCTGAGCTAAATCCCCAGCCCTTTTAAATGCATTTTAAAAAGCATTTTAAGTATATACTATGATCATCTTGGATTTATATACATACTGATTAGGGAGCTACTTTGAGGAAGTATGATCAGCACAGCACATGTGGGCTATTACCTCCCTTCCCTTAATCTGGACACAACTATTTAAACACTATAATTAATTTATCAGCTTTTCTACATATATGGTTTTCACTAACCTTGTGAGCAGCTGGCTGAGGATCTTCAGATTTTCATTTGAAATGTCTTCTAGTTAAGAGAATGCCCACATTACACCTTTGGTGCAGTTAACTTTCTTCTGGCCTGTAAGCTGTATTCTATTTATCCCACCTTTACTTTCTATAGCCATAAACTGGGATAGCATAACTAATCTCCCAGGGTTTTATTGTACGGGTGAGAGATGTCACCACAACATGTATCAGGTATTCAGTAAATAGATATTTCATGATTAATATTGAAAACCCTAACCATCCCTCATTATATTTATTCTGATTTATACCAAAGGAAAAACTATCACTCTGAGGGTTGTCACAAATATATAAATCAGTGATTCTACTGAAAATAGGTATGATCTTGAGAAGAAATAAACACTTGGCCTAGAAGTAGAGTAGCTATTTCTAACATGTAAGAGCAGAGATATTTCTCAATACTGTTAAGTATCTCTGGGTAGACAGTGAATCAAGTAGTAAATATTTTTTAAAAATACAGTTGTTCATTTACATATTAATCCTTAGTTTGTGACAGGGTTAAAAAATGAAGGCTGAAATATAATTTCTAAACACTGAATTCAAGAGTGATCCATAGCTGAAGATCACACCCATGCTTTCCATCCTGGGAAGAGTCGACTGAGATTTTTGGGATCCATCGCCTGCTGTATGAGCAGATTCACCTGTCCACCCACACTGAGCACGGTGCCTTCCTCCACTCCTTTCAGTTTTTCTTGCAATCTCATCAAGACACGTTCAGCTACTTTGTTGACGCTCTGGTCAGTATCACTGGAGACAAAAACAGAAAGGTTTCAATGTGGTACAACAGTTTTAAGGTCCTTGAGGTTAAGAGCATCTAAACAAGTGACACAAGTCCTTCCTAACATACTCTTCTGCTCACCTAAGATTTCGTTTGCATTGTTGGTCATCTGCATTCGGAGTGGAGTGGAGCTCATTTTCATCTTCAGGCCTCTGCTGTAAATACAAAGCTTTCAAAGGATTCATGGTCCAGTCAAAGAGTGGATCATACAAGAGGACCTAGAGAAAACATATGTATTAGACGAATGATGTGCATTTTATTATGTACTTAAAAACAGACCCCGTATTATTAACAAAAAAAAACAGGCCAGGCAGATGGTAGTTGATGGAGGAGACAGAGCGAGCTTATCACACATGCTTCATGTCTTCTCATGGAGGGAACTATACCAACAAAGGTTCTTACCCTATTCTCAGTTCATTCTTCAGGGTTGGGGGTGATACCCTTTGACCCATGTTTTCTGAGTGAAGCTAATCTACTAAAAGGAGATAACCACAAGTCAATTTTTTTCCTTTACCTGCTACTCTTGACCAGTGTAGTCCGGGGTGAGCGAGTTTACTGTGTAGGGTATACTCCCCATCAGGCGGGCTGTCTCAAATAAAGATTAGGCTGTGGGTGGTGGGAAGTACTAGCGGGTCTATTTTGACCTCACTCCTAAGCCATGTTCTCCAAATTTTTTTTTTAATCAGTATTAAATCTGACATTGCAGCGCAATTTGTCATAGTTAAATCATGGAAGCAACCCAAATACCCATCAACTGAGGAATGGATGAAAAAGTTGTGGTATTTTTATATAATGGAATATTATTCAGCTTTAAAGAAAGATAAATTTGAGGCTTTTATAGGTGAGTGGACATAACTAGACACCATACTCATAAGTGAAATAAATCAGACCCGCATGTATAAACACCGTATTGTCTCACTAGTGTAAGAGCCTGAAAGAGTGAATAAAATCTAGGACACACAACAGATATTGTGATAGGGAAGGAAACTGCTCAAAAGTAAAGAGCAACTGGGGTGAGGGAAAACAGAAAAGAAGGAAGGGGAAATTATGTATATGTATGTATACACAGGATAGCTAAGATAGTTGTACTTACTGACTTCTATTGCTTTACTGAAAGGAACAGTTAATGTTTATTTGATCAGTCTTACATGTCTATATTTGTTTATGAGTAACCGATTTGAAGATACTAATATGTAATACAACCACTACTGTTAATTTCCTATCACATTGTCTGAAATTCTGTATTGCTTGTATTGTTTTTGTGTTATTTTGTAAATGTGTTTGTTAATATGTTTCCATTCTTCCATCTTTAAAACAAAACCAAAAATAAATAAATCTGACATTTTGACCTCAAATCTACTCTATGGTTTTCTCTCAATCAGTTCCAAATAAGGATGGAGAGGGGAAAAAGGGTGTAATGTGTTGAAAACCAAGGTCTGGTGCTGTGGCAGGGATATAATGATATATGTGGTAGACAAGTGTATGTAAGTAGCCAAGAAGTGGCTTTAAGTCTCAAATGTTAAACGATATGGTGCATGCCTCTAATCCCAGCACTTTGGTGGCTTAGGCAGGAGGACTATAAGTTCAATTTAGCAAGTGACCCTGTCTCAAAAAAACTAAAACAAAACAAAAACAAGGGGTAGGGCTATAGCTCAGTATGAAGGCCCTGGGTTTAATCCCCAGTACTGCTCTCCACCTTCTAAAGTCTTAAACTTTAGAAATCTTAGAAACTGAAAAACAAAATTGGAAACCAAAGTTGTAAGAGATTTCTAAGCTTGACAATTTAGCTAACTACCCTGGTGTTTATTAGCACAGAACATTCTTTTTTCTTGACAGCATTTACCAAATGCTTACATGTTTTAGTAAAAAGACCCAACTACAGAGGCAAATGATTCTGTAGGACATGCCAGCATGGTAAGGTTGGAGTATTTTTTTGCTTCTATCTTTACTGTTTCTTGGCACCAAACTGGGACTATAAAATGTCTTCAGCATGTTTAATTCTAGAACATTTACGAGATCAGCAGTACCAAAATCTCTTCATTTCGTAAGGCTGCTCTGAGCAGAGCATCCTCCAGGGCCATTAAACACTGAAGGAGTTAGCCAGACAGGGTGGCACATGCCTATAATCCTCACTACTCAGGAGACTAAGGCATGAGG